GCTGAAGACGGTGTGCAAACAACAACAAGCTGATACGTGGTTCAGATTGTAGTATTTGTGTCTAGAGACGCTAAGTCATGGGACAGATGTTTAAACAAATCCATCCAAACTTACACATCCTCATGAGTGCAAACCTGAGGAGTCTACCCTCTTCTTCCAACAACAACACCACTGCTCAAAGCATTTAAAAGTTCCTCTTTAGAAACTTTGTATGGAGCCTGAGGCCTAGTCTTTTTAGTATCTGTTACTGTGACAAATCTTCATATTTGGAGGGTAAATTTGATTCTTTTAGGACAGGTAAAAGGCATTAGGAACGGATGGGTGATTGAGTATTCTAGGTTTAAAGCCAAAAGGAGAATGTGATTACCATGTAACGAGACAATTTTCTAACGTAGCTGATAAACTGGCCCTAAAAGCAAATCTCAAGGAGCAGGTCCAGAAGTGGTTTCTGAGGGTTGATTTAGTCAGCCTACTGACTTCCAGAGAGGGGACAAAACCAGAACAAAGAACACATCATAAGTGTCATTACACCGAATACCCATGTGTTAGGATTTATCATTTACCATGAGCTTCAGCATAACAGACCCTCCTTCACCCTTCTTAACTCCCCCTGTCCCAGGTCTCAGTACAGGTCTGTGATGTGTACAGCCTCGAAAAGCATCTAGGAAGTAGAATATTAATACCATTTTTTGTAACGTTCTACAGTTAGTAAAGTATATTTTTAAATACTTAACAGTGAAAATGTGTCAATAGTCCTCAATTTTGGTGAGTCCCTCTAGCAGTTAAGCAAGTCCCCCCAAACCCACAAGAGCCTCAAGGTAAAGTATGTAATTTAGAGGTAAAGGTGGCAACTCAGTAGCAGGAACAGGGATGTGATCTTTCAACTAGGTTATGTAGGCGTGAGTGAAACCTCCTTATCCCACACAAATGCTAAGCCAACAGAACAAAAGGGGAAAACAGGAAGTTAAAATACCACAAGAAATGTAAAACCCTAATTCCAAATTATCTTTGTTACTATCATTAGACTCATCATTTCTTTTTCTTTTTTAATATTTATTTATTTATTTATTTGGCTGCACCAGCTCTTACCTGCGGCACGGGGGATCTTTCAGTTGCGGCATGCGGGATCTAATTCCCTGACCATGGATGGAACCCAGGCCCCCTGCATTGGGAGCTTGAAGTCTTAACCACTGGACCACCAGGGAAGTCCCGAGTCATCATTTCTTAAGAGCTCTTACCTCCCATCCTTTTCACCCAGACATAATTGTGGCATCAAATGTCTACAACCTACAAGATACCTGTGAGCAACCAGAAGAACTTCTAGGCCACCAACACTCGCCGAGGACAATTTTGGAACCTGTTGGAGGTGAGGATTTAAGTAGTGTTTTCTGGTGGCACCAGGTAGACTGGTGCACATGGGAAAGTCTATGGCACTGGGTTAGTATTACCTTGAAGAGACAAGTCATTCCCCAGTGGTCGTCAAAATACATACCAAGATCAAAATAATAGCTCTCTTTGTGCATATAGCCGTTTGCACGTGGAATTTAAATGGCATCCATTCCTTTTCCATGAGTGATAGGACATAAATGTCTCCTACTGTGACTAACTGTCCCCGTTTGCCCGAAACTGTTCTGGTTTTAGCACTGGAAGTCTCACATCCCAAGAAATCCCTCAATTCCAGGCAAATTAGAGCAAATCATTGATCACAGGAAATAGGTGCCCATCTGAGGCCATAAGATATATTACAGCTGCCCATGAGGAATCGAAGACAGTTCTCCTGACATCATCTGTCAGGTCATCTTGTCTGTTTGTCTGGTGCTCACCTCCAAAAACTAATCTTCCCAAGCTTGTGACCTAGCAGGTTAAGAGAAGAAAACGAAGGCAAGTTCTAGGCCTCAACTTCACCGTGATGCCTGGGCCATACCGCACTTGCCACCCTGGGCCTCAGGACCATCAAGTGTAAGTAAGGAACTTACACATCATAGTTTTCAAACACCAGACAATAATTTGATTTTCATGGGTCATGAAATCAATTTATTGGATTACAAACAGCATTTTTTTTTCTTTTCTGGAACTATTATTTTTTTTAACTTTATCGAAGTAAAGTTGATTTACAAGTTGTGTTAATTTCTTCCGTACAGCAAAGTGACTCAGTTATACATATATACATTCTTTTTCATATTCTTTTCCATTATGACTTGTCACAGGATATTGAATATAGTTCCCTGTGCTATACCGTAGGACCTTGTTGTTTATCTATCCTATATGTAATAGTTTGCCTCTAGTAATCCCAAACTCCCATTCCTTCTCTCCCCCAGCCCCCACCCCCTTGGCAACCACAAGTCTGTCCTCTATGTCTGTGAGTCTGTTTTTGTTTCGTAGATACGTTGATTTGTATCGTATTTTAGATTCCACATAAAAGTGATACCATATGGTATTTATCTTTCTCTTTCTGACTTATTCACTTAGTATGATAATCTCTAGGTCCATCCATGTTGCTGCAAATGGCATTATTTCATTCTTTTTGATAGCTGCGTAATATTCCATTGTATATATGTACTACATCTTCTTTATCCATTCATCTGTTAATGGACAGATTGTTTCCATATCTTGGCTATTATAAATACTGCTGCTATAAACCTAGGGATGCATGTATCTTTCTGAATTATACTTTTGTCTGGGTATATGCCCAGGAGTGGGATTGCTGGATCATATGGCAACTTTATTTTTAGTTTTTTGAGGAACCTCCATACTGTTGTCCATAGTGGCTGCACCAATTTATTCCCACCAGCAGTGTAAGGGGGTTCCCTTTTCTCCACACCTTCTCCAGCATTTACTTGTAGACTTTTTAATGATGGCCATTCTGACCAGTGTGAGGTGGTACCTCACTGTAGTTTTGATTTGCATTTCTCTAATAATTAACGATGTTGAACATCTTTTGAACATCTTTTCATGTGCCTATTGGCCATCTATATGTCTTCTTTGGAGAAATGTCTATTTAGGTCTTCTGACCATTTTTCGATTGAGTTGTTTGTTTTTTTATTGTTGAGTTGTATGAACTGTTTGTATATTTTGTAAATCATTTGCAAATATTTTCTCCTATTCCATAGATTGTCTTTTCATTTTATGGTTTATGGCTTCCTTTGCTGTGCAAAAGCTTGTAAGTTTGATTAGGTCCCATTTGTTTATTTTTTGTTTTTATTTCTGTTGCCTTGGGAGACTGACCTAAGAAAACATCAGTACGAGTTATGTCAGAGAATGTTTTGCCTGTGATCTCTTCTAGGAGTTTTATGGTACGAACAGCACTTTTAATTTTTTTTAATAAAACAGAACAAAACAAGTATTGGATTGGCCAAAAAGTTCATTCGGGTTTTTCCATAGATGTTACAGAAAAACACGAACAAACTTTTTGGCCAACCCAATAGAAACTACTAGAGGACATTGCACATGGCAGGGAAGTGTTGTTTGTAAAGCATGTTTCAATTATATATGTCCATGTCTACCAGATCTCAATGTCGAATTTATTGCTTGATGTGGGTTGCAGGCAAACATTTAAAGCCAACAGATTAGATCATCTCTAACTTTCCTGCTGACTCCAGAATTTTGCAGTCCTACAGAAGTCATTTTTTTTAATGTGTATACATATTTTATTGGATCTCATTTTCCTTTTTTTCACAGTTCATTTTTTTAATATTATTTTACAACCTACTTTTTAAAAAATATTTATTTATTTATTTTTATTTTTGGCTGCGTTGGGTCTTCGTTGCTGCTCGTGGGCTTTCTCTAGTTGTGGCGAGCGGGGGCTACTCTTCGTTGTGGTGCATGGGCTTCTCATTGCGGCAGCTCCTCTTGTTGCAGAGCACGGGCTCTAGGCAGGCTTCAGTAGTTGTGGCGCATGGGCTCAGTAGTTGTGGCTCGCGGGCTTAGTTGCTCTGCGGCATGTGGAATCTTCCCGGACCAGGGCTTGAACCCATGTCCCCTGCATTGGCAGGCGGATCCTTAACCACTGCGCCACCAGAGAAGCCCCAGAAGTCAGTTTTGTAAGTGGTTTTTCTCTTTTATTATTGTAAAAGATCCTAGAATAAAAGTTATTGTTGCCCTATTCATAGCACCCAGCACGGGGCCTTACAGTTAGTTCACTCCCAATAAATGTTTCTTATATTCCAGCACATTCAACAAGAACACACTCCAACATGAACTTTGGTGCTTTCTTTCATCTCCAACAGAAGTGGAAGTCCCAGAGCTGGGTGATTGTACCAACCAGCAGGAAAATAGCCTCTTGAATATCATTGCCTTTCAGCTTGAGAGAATTCAGAGAGCTCCATAAATGCCACAACCATGCTGGCAGCAGCCTCTGCAGATGCAGACTTTGACACTGAGATACACTCCTGGTTTCAGGAACAATCTGGTTCAATTTCTGGAGGGATGAACACTCTAGCAAGGGAAGGGGGGTGGGGGAAATGGGGAACAGATACATTCTAGAATCAAAAACAGGTATGCACTAACTACACATCAGCAATCACTTCTAGGAGCATGAAACGTGACAGGTACCTGCAAACTGCTAAGGAAAAGAACAAGTATAATTTTATGGATTGTCACTTTGCAATAGCAGGATATAGAAAGCATAAAAGTTAGCAATTTTTACATCAGAAATCACAATTAGGGAACCATTTTGTTTTCTAGTCCCCCCCTACAAAAAAAAAAATGCTGTGCCAGAATTTTTACATAATTAGGGCTTCAAGTAAAAATTTCGGCCTCCTGAAAAAAAAATGTCATTTCCTTTTTTTTTTTTTTTTTTTTTTTTTGCGGTACACGGGCCTCTCACTGCTGTGGCCTCTCCCGTTGCGGAGCACAGGCTCCGGACGCGCAGGCTCCAGACGCGCAGGCTCAGCGGCCATGGCTTACGGGCCCAGCCGCTCCGCGGCATGTGGGATCTTCCCGGACTGGGGCACGAACCCGTGTCCCCTGCATCGGCAGGCGGACTCTCAACCACTGCGCCACCGGGGAAGCCCTGTCATTTCCTTTTAAATCACATTTTTTTCCTCAGTTAATTCTGATGTTAGATGAAAAGATGGAAATAGAGAAGGTCCAGTCTTTAAAAAATTAGGAAGTGATATTTCTTTTCTAAAAAGCAAGAATGGATCAGAAATTAAAACTTAACATATTACTCTGAAGTCTAAATATAGGCTACATCAGGAGCACGGCTGGTCATGGGATAGACTCCTCAAATGAGGCGCCTGAGACCCTGGGGCCACGCCCCACACAGGTGAGGGCAGTCCATCTGAGTAAGAGCAATAAAGTAATATGGAGAGTGCTGACCGAGGTTGGGGGTCGTCCATGCAGGTAGGGAGGGATGCGCAGTATAGACACAGGTAAGATGCACTGGCTCAGGGTGGCAGGCAGGTGGGCTGAGCTAGTCAGGACTTGTGGTCCTGTCCACAACAAGGCATATGGACAAGACACACATGCCCAGGGTCCCAGGAAAGGCAGCCAGATCTCAGGACGTTTAGAATTGCCACAACTGAGAACTGGCCACTCTTCTTTCTACTGTCTGTCCTTTTGATTATATTCCTCAAATCTAGGCATAAATTAAACAACTTCAGAATTAATCCAACAGATCTACAAAACTGGCACCGAAGTTCCTCATGGTCTGTGATGACACTAGACTCCAAATTCCCAAGAACCAGCTCATCTCTCCCAGCAGCACACACCTCCAGCCCAAGCAGAATGGTGTCCTTGAGTCACTTATCCAATGGGCCGTGGCTGAAGAGAGAACGGAACCCGTGGGACTGGCGTGGCTCTTTGGCCAGTGGGGCTCAGGACAGGCAAGTTCCCCAAACCTGAGAGACTCCTGCTGCTTCAGGAAATTCGATCCCAGAGGAACAAAGAGACAAATAGCACAGATTCTGGCCCAGGGGAACAATACAGGTAGCCAGTGAAAAAACCAGGGCACAAGAGGGAGGCTTAATTACAGGAAAAAGACAGCAGTAGTGCAGTGTGGGGCGTACAGTGAGGGGAGGACTGGGGACACGGTTGAACAATCGCCTCTTGCAGAGACACAGCCCCAGAGCCCTGCGTGGGGTAGCCAATCAATAAAGATTGGCTGGCTGTTTAATTAACTCAGGAGCTTATTTAGCTAAATCAGGTCTGCCTGTGCCTTAAAGGAAATGGCCCTCCCGCATTAGGATCAATTGGGAGCCTGTTTAAAATGCAGATACCAGGCTCCAGAAGAGCCAGAAGGAATCCTGAGCTCTAGGGTTGGGCCCAGGAATCACCCTTTGGGCTGCACTGCTGTGGATGTGGGCCATCTTGATCTACTTCAGAAACTGTTGCATCCTGGATCCTGTTTGCAGGGAACGTCCGGTTAAAATGAATTCTTCTCCAGTTGAACAAAATAGAGGCACTGACAGTCTTCATATACAGGTATCTGGTGTGGTTTGTCCGCTGTTCACTGAGATGTGGTCTATGGGTGGAGGTTCTCTCGCTCCCTGCCTGTACCCTGGACGGGTTTTCCCAGACTCTGTCTTACACACGGGCCCCAGCTGCAGGGCTAGCACTCCCAGTTTCTGCCGTAATCCCAACGGCAGGATCTCAGCCCCACCTTCTACCCGTGGTGACTGATAATTAGGTCATCCTTTCCAGACCTGACATCCTGGGCCCAACCAGCCCAGCTCCTACTTGTTCCCTGAAGATGCCCCAAGCCAGAGTGCCAGAAGTGAGCCCTGTGGGTCCACCGATCTCTTAAGTCCCAGCATCTTACACACCTTGCCATATCGACCCAGACCACAGAAATGGCTATTGCCTTCATTTCCCTTACTAGTCTCTTTTCCTCAATCAGACCAATATTTATTGAGTACTTGCTGTATACCAGGCACTGAGTAACCAAAGTGAGAAAGCCCTTGGACTCCCAAGACTTCAGTTCTCCAAATGAGTATTGGTGGTTGTTGTTTTTTTCAATTTTCTGTTTTCATTTTGATAATCTTTTTTTAATTGATATTCTGCCATATAGAGTTTATATTCATAAATATATTCTCATCAAGTGAACGCCAAATGATACTATGTTATGATGAACAATGAAGGATCCAAAATAATTTGAATAATCTAAGTAGTTAGAATGCCAAGTGTTTTGGTGTCCAAACTGAAAGAAAGCTTGTAGTAGTGAGAACCACATTCTCATTCTGTTCATAGAGTCTGTTTTGCACCTGCGAGTTTGTAAAAGTTCATTTATTGTGAATGTAGCCGTAAATGAACAATGAAGAACTTTTCTGTTCCTCACTGTGGCAATAATGCAATTAGACATTCACTTAATGCAGATTTCCAGGATGTGGCAGTGCTAACCTTACCTATGAATGAATGAGATGATTCCACAGAGTTATCAAGTGGCATTTCATTAAAATTGGCATTTCAGGAATGCTCAAAGGGTAGAATTTTAATTAACTATGAGGTCTAATTATCCTGCACTAGCAAATAAGGCCTGGTTAACTGGCATTCTCTGCTTTAGCCTTGAACCCAAAGGCCAAAATAAATACAGAACTGGACCTCAGACCACATGTTTCTACTGTTAAACCCAGCACAACCAGTTAGTTTCAGAACAATAGCAGCATCTGTTATGTTAAACGACCATGGCTTACTTGAATAATATTGGTTTTGCAGATGTGTTTGTGCTTCACTCATACATGGGCTCTTTTTTTGTGATAATAGCTAGTACTTATGGAGAGCTTACTGCAGGCCAGGCACTGTGCTGAGCACCTTACATGGGTTAGCTCATTTAAGCCTCACAACAACTCTGAGATGGGTCCTATTACCCACATTTTACCAATAAGTCGACTGAGGCACAGAGAGATTGACTTGCCTAAGGTTACCGCCAAGGAAATGGTGGCTCTTGGATTTGAATCCAAGTGGGTCTGGCTCCAGAGCCTGTGTTCTTAACTTCCTGAGTGACGAGAGGTGGGCACAGTAACAGCCAAGTGCCATCCTGGTCCCTGGGGCACAGCTGTGGGACTGAGCTCTTGAAGTCAGCAGTCCTTGTGATGGTCCAGTGGTCCGCCTTCCTGATGGTGACACAAAAGGCAGGCCTGTTTGGAAGTGTGTTCCAGAGCCATTCCTGCAGCCTGGACCCTGCTGCTCTAGCCTTTCATTGATTTTTATGTTCCTAATTCCATGCATCAAATTCCTTTTCTGCTTCAAATATGCAGAGTGGTTCTTGTTTCCTGACAAGAGCTCTGCCTGATACACTTGCATTGATTCATGTAACAACCCTGTGAGGAAAGTACTATTATCCCCTGCTTACAACCTGAGGAAACTGAGGCATAAGGAGGTTCATTAGCTTAGAAAGTAGCAGAGCTGGGTTTCTCACTCAACCTAGCTCCACAAACCATACTCTGAAGGCTACACTGCTTCCTCCATATGCTACTTTAAGTAGTGGGAATTAATGGTGCCTCACTGGACTTGAATTGATTTCCTGACCTGATGTCATTTTCACTCATGATCCAAACTCCCAGAAGAGTCTGATTGGCTCACTTGGGTCTCAGATCCTGCCTCCCTACCACCCTTGATTGACAGTGGGCAGTGGAGGAGGGTAGATCCCCCCAAAAGCGAGTCTGGTGGTGAGACAGATCACCTGCAAGTGCTAAATGAGCAGCAGGACCAGTCATGCTGGTATAAACTATAACCATGGTGGCAGCCTTGGAAGCTCCAAAGGGGAATCCCTCCTTAATTTCATGCTCAGAGTTGTGCCCAGCCTTGCTGTGCCAGAAACTCAATTCGTTTGCTTGGAAAAGCCAATAAGAAGTCCTCCCTGACTTGCTGTCTTAAATGTCTTAGCTATGTGTGACCTTGAGCCTGGGTACTTCCCTTCTCCGTATTGGGCATTAAAAGGAAACAAGAAAATATGTTTCCTCTTTTCATATCAGGATTTCAAAAACAATTTATTTTGCCGCCTCTTTTTAATTTTTAAATAAAATATACTGATGTAATATGAATATTAAAAAGATGTTTGAGGAAAACCCATCACTTTACCAAATTGCTCTACCAAAGCTACTTTATCAAATTATTCCTCCTTTTATTTTTGCAAAGTTAAAATCATATTGTATATGTGATCTGTTTGTCTGCTCTCTTCACTTATCATTATGGCAGGCATTTTCCCGTTTCAAGTTTCATAATCATAATTTTTGCAAAAGCGTATGTCATCATATTGTTGGCCCTAACTTAGTAATTCATTTTCCTTTTGTTAATTCAGGTTGCAAGAGCCCCTGTTAGCACAAAGCCAAAGAAGCTTCCATTTTCTATTAAGAATGGAATTGGGAATTCTATTTGGAGGACATTTACTATAAAAGCTCTACATGACTCCCCGAGAGTGAGGCCAACTCAGCTGGAATAAGCACCCACTGCAGAGGGCTTAGGGGCTTGTGGAAAATTCCAGAAGCTGGAGCTCCATCCTAGAACTGGGACTAAGGTAAGAGGAGAGAGGTGCCCACCTCACGTGCAAAAACAAAACAAAACAACAACCAAAAAGCACAAAAACCTCTACATGACAAATTTGACCCATAATGAGTTATGATTAATATTGCTTATCCTTCGCCTTTTAGTTACTAGCATTTAAACCTTTTACATGAACAAAAATTTTTTTCTTTTTTTTTTGGCCACACTGCATGGCTTGCAGGATTTTAGTTCCCCAACCAGGGATTGAACCCCGGCCTGTGTCAGTGAAAGCAGCAAGTCCTAACCACTGGACTACCAGGGAACTCCTTTTTTTCTTTTAAAATAACTTTAATCATTACTTTTTTGTTATTTTTTTTCATTGAAAAAGGAATAATGCTTGTATTTTTTTTAAAAAAATTGAAACACAGCATATTATCTCAAATCCCCAAACACATATCCTTCATCAAAAGCAGACATTTCTGATAGTTCCTTCCACGTCCTTCCAGAATTTTCCTTTGTATATACATGCATATTGATATGTGCATGTCCCTTTTTCTTGTTTACACGAATGAGGACACACACTATATTGTGCTTGCCGCTTTTACTTGATTTCAGACGGCAGATTGAGCCATCTTGGCATATATAATCTACTTCATTTTTTTTTAAGAGGTAAATCATTTTCCACTATATGAAAGTGGTATAATATATTTAACCATTTCCCCATTGAGAGACATTTTCACAGTTTCTAGATTTTTGTTTTTGTGCTGTATGACAAGTAATGTTGTCACCATAACATTTTTTTGATAGATTCAGGGTAATCAGAAGTCTTAGATTTCCTGGGCAATCTTATTTTAATATAAAAAAATTATTTTAATAAATAATTTATATAGATTCCCAAAAGGCATTTGATAAAACTTAACATTTTATGTCCAATTTTTAAAATTCTCAGTAAAGAAAATAAAGTTTCAAAATTTTCTTATTTACTAAGGAAATAATAGAAGTTTTCCCATTAGAGTCAGGAAAAAGACAAAGACACCCACTCTCCCCATTATGGTTTAGTATTGCTCTAGAATTAGTAGTCATTGAAAAAGAAAGAAATAGAGGTATTAAAACTGGAAATAGGGCTACCCTGGTGGTGCAGTGGTTGGGAGTCCACCTGCCGATGCAGGGGACACGGGTTCGTGCCCCGGTCTGGGAAGATCCCACATGCCGCGAAGCGGCTAGGCCCATGAGCCATGGCCGCTGAGCCTGCGCGTCCGGAGTCTGTGCTCCGCAACGGGAGAGGCCACAACAGTGAGAGGCCCGCGTACCACAAAAAAAAAAAAAAAAAAAAATGTAAATAAGGAGGTAAAATTATCCTTATCTGGGATGATGAACTGTAAAACTGGAAAAACACAGAAACAGAAAATCAACAGAAAAACTATTACAGACAAAAGAGCATTCAGTAAGGTGACTCTCATATGCTCTCGGTGACTGGTAAACTGGCACAACCCCCAGAGGTGAGGAGGCAGCAGTTTGGACCATTTCTAGTAGATACATTTATTTTCATGAAATCCTTGATCTATAAATAGATGGATGAGCTTTGTTCTGTAAAGAAAAGCCTATTGATTGACAGGAGGGGGAAAGAAACAACACTGTAGTTTTTTTAGTGTTTTTGTTGTCACTGTTGTGCTTGCTCTTGTTGTGTTTTTTTTTTTAAGTGTATAATTCAGGAGTTTTTATTCACAAGGTTGTGCAGACATCACCACTATCTAATTCCACCATATTTCTTTTTTTTTTTTATACAGCAGGTTCTTATTAGTCATCAATTTTATACACATCAGTGTATACATGTCAATCTAATCTCCCAATTCATCACACCACCACCACCACCACCCCCGCTGCTTCCCCCGCTTGGTGTCCATACATTTGTTCTCTACATCTGTGTCTCAATTTCTGCCCTGCAAACTGGTTCATCTGTACCATTTTTCTAGGATCCACATATATGCATTAATATACGATATTTGTTTTTCTCTTTCTGACTTACTTCACTATGTATGACAGTCTCTAGATCCAACCGTGTCTCTACAAATGACCCAATTTCATTCCTTTTTATGGCTGAGCAATATTCCATTGTATATATGTGCCACATCTTCTTTATCCATTTGTCTGTCAATGGGCATTTAGGTTGCTTCCATGTGCTGGCTATTGTAAATAGAGCTGCAGTGAACATTGGGGTGCATGTGTCTTTTTGAATTATGGTTTTCTCTGGGTATATGCCCAGTAATGGGATTGCTGGGTCATATGGTAATTCAATTTTCATTTTTTAAGGAACATCCATACTGTTCTCCATAGTGGCTGTATCAATTTACATTCCCACCAACAGTGCAAGAGGGTTCCCTTTTATCCACACCCTCTCCAGCATTTATTGTTTGTAGATTTTCTGATGATGCCCACTCTAACTGGTGAGAGGTAATACCTCATTGTAGTTTTGATTTGCATTTCTCTAATAATTAGTGATGTGGAGCACCTTTTCATGTGCTTCTTGCCCATCTGTTTATCTTCTTTGGAGAAAAGTCTATTTAGGTCTTCTGCCCATTTCTGGATTGGGTTGTTTGTTTTTTTAATATTGAGCTGCATGAGCTGTATATATTTTGCAGATTAATCCTTTGTCCGTTGATTCATTTGCAAATATTTTCTCCTATTCTGAGGGCTTTCTTTTCATCTTGTTAATGGTTTCCTTTGCTGTGCAAAAGCTTTGAAGTTTCATTAGGTCCCATTTGTTTATTTTGTTTTTATTTCCATTACTCTAGGAGGTGGATCAAAAAAGATCTTGCTGTGATTTATGTCAAAGAGTGTTCCTCCTAAGTTTTCCTCTAAGAGTTTTATGGTGTCCGGTCTTAAATTTAGGTCTCTAATCCATTTTGAGTTTCTTTTTGTGTATGGTGTTAGGGAGTGTTCTAATTTCATTCTTCTACATGTAGCTGTCCAGTTTTCCCAGCACCGCTTATTGAAAAGGCTGTCTTTTCTCCATTGTATATCCTTGCCTCCTTTGTCATAGATTAGTTGACCATAGGTTCGTGGGTTTATCTCTGGGCTTTCTATCTTGTTCCATTGATCTATATTTCTGTTTTTGTGCCAATACCATATTGTCTTGATTACTGTAGCTTTGTACTATAGTCTAAAGTCAGGGAATCTGATTCCTCCAGCTCCATTTTTTTCCCTCAAGACTGCTTTGGGTATTTGGGGTCTTTTGTGTCTCCATACAAATTTTAAGATTTTGTGGGCTTCCCTGTTGAAGTGGCTGAGAGTCCACCTGCTGATGCAGGGGACACGGGTTCATGCCCCGGTCTGGGAAGATCCCACATGCCACGGAGCAGCTAGGCCCATGAGCCATGGCCGATGAGCCTGAGCGTCCAGAGCCTGTGCTCCACAATGGGAGAAGCCACAACAGTGAGAGGCCCGCGTACCGCAAAAAAAAAAAAAAATTTTTTTGTTCTACTTCTGTAAAAAATGCCATTGGTAATTTGATAGGGATTGCATTGAATCTGTAGATTGCTTTGGGTAGTATAGTCATTTTCACAATATTGATTCTTCCAATCCAAGAACATGGTATATCTCTCCATCTGTTGGTATCACCTTTAATTTCTTTCATCAGTGTCTTATAGTTTTCTGCATACAGGTCTTTTGTCTCCCTAGGAAGGTTTATTCCTAGGCATTTTATTCTTTTTGTTGCAGTGGTAAATGGGAGTGTTTCCTTAATTTCTCCTGCAGATTTTTCATCGTTAATATATACGAATGCAAGAGATTTCTGTGCATTAATTTCGTATCCTACGACTTTACCAAATTCATTGATTAGCTCTAGTAGTTTTCTGGTGGCACCTTTAGGATTCTCGATGTATAGTATCATGTCATCTGCAAACAGTGACAGTTTTACTTCTTCTTTTCCAATTTGTATTCCTTTTATTTCTTTTTCTTCTCTGAGTGCCGTGGCTGGGACTTCCTAAACTCTGTTGTATAATAGTGGTGTGAGTGGACATCCTTCCTTGTCTTTTTCCTGATCTTGGAGGAAATGCTTTCAGTTTTTCACCATTGATAATGATGTTTGCTGTGGGTTTCTCATATATGGACTTTATTATGTTGAAGTAGGTTCCCTGTATGCCCACCTTATGGAGAGTTTTTATCATAAATGGGCGTTGAATTTTGTCAAAAGCTTTTTCTGCATCTATCGAGATGATCATATGGTTTTTATTCTTCAGTTTGTTAATATGGTGTATCACATTGATTAATTTGCGTATATCGAAGAATCCTTGCATCCCTGGGGTAAATCCCACTTGATCATGGTGTATGATCCTTGTAATGTGTTGTTGGATTCTGTTTGCTAGTATTTTGTTGAGGACTTTTGCATCTATATTCATCAGTGATATTGGTCTGTAATTTTCTTTTTTTGTAGTATCTTTGTCTGGTTTTGGTATCAGGGTGATGGTGGCCTCATAGGATGAGTTTGGAAGTGTTCCTTCCTCTGCAATTTTTTGGAGGAGTTTGAGGAGGATGGGTGTTAGCTCTTCTCTAAATGTTTGATAGAATTCACCTGTGAAGCCATCTGGTCCTGGACCTTTGTTTCTTGGAAGATTTTTAATCACAGTTTCAATTTCATTACTTGTGATTGGTCTGTTCATATTTTCTATTTCTTCCTGATTCAGTCTTGGAAGGTTATACCTTTCTATGAATTCTTCCATTTCTTCCGGGTTGTCCATTTTATTGGCATAGAGCTGCTTGTAGTAGTCTCTTAGGATGCTTTGTATTTCTGCAGTGTCTGTTGTAACGTCTCCTTTTTCATTTCTAATTTTATTGATTTGAGTCCTCTCCCTCTTTTTCTTGATGAGTCTGGCTAATGCTTTATCAATTTTGTTTATCTTCTCAAAGAAACAGCTTTTAGTTTTATTGATCTTTGCTATCATTTTCTTTGTTTCTATTTCACTTATTTCTGCTCTGATCTTTATGATTTCTTTCCTTCTGCTAACTTTGGGGTTTTGTTTGTTCTTCTTTCTCTAG